ATTAGAGCAACTGCCAAGAGGGAGGACAGTGTGTGGCCCAGGTCAAAAGCACAGGAAGAAAGGATTTCAGGAGGGAAGCAATCCTGTGCAGAGGAAATGGGTTCCTCTGTCCCTCTGTCATGAAGGAAGAAGACACTGTGGGGGACAAGTCCTCCCAGGCTCTTTTAAAGAGAAAATTTGGGGACAGAATAAGAAACTTTCTACAGAATATTTTCTACAGTAAAGCCAAAGGGCAGGCAAACTCCTTATGCAAATCATGACCCCATCAACTAATACCCAAATCTAAGGGTTACTCACAAGCCAACTGCTTACAGACAATGGGGTGTCAGAAGCTCAGACACTCATGACCACCACTGGATGGATCATAATGAAGTTTCATCATAGACATTCTGCCTCAAAGAAAAACATAATTAAAGAGGTACTCCAGGCCCCTATGAGTAGACAATCCCGTTATTCTAGGGGTTCCTCCTCCCCAGAACAAAAGAGAGTGATGGGTGCTATCATTCCTGGTCACCAGGCCAGTCCAAGGGACACAGCCATCCTCTGAACAGGTGGATCAGAAACAAGGACAACAAGAAGGCCTTGCTGCTCAAGGAGGTTACATCTCTTCCCAGCCCCTGCCAGCAGAGGACCAGGGTGGCAGGTATGTTGGACCACAATGTCCACTGTCCAGTGCACTATGCTCTAAAGAAATGTTTGTTGTCTCATCAACATCAGCATGCTTTTCACTCTTGTACTGCTGGGAAGAAGTTTTTCCCATAATAAAAACCATACTGAGAACAACTGTCCTCATGTGAGCCCAACATTTGTTTGATAAAGGCTTCTTCCTAATGAGGTGACAATTGCTTAACAACATTTTTTTAAATCAGTGTTTTTCTGGGTCATAGGGAAGGTGGTCATGTCTGTTCTTCATTATTCTGGTTTGTAGAAGAGACTGGACACGCAGGGAGGTGACAGTGGCATTGAGTACCCACCCTTAGGTCAGATCCCCCTGTTATGTCTTAAGAATTCATGACTTGATCGTTACAGAAATAATACAATGCCTTTGGGACTCCTCAATATGGGGCAATCCCACAAGGACCCCGCCCTAAAGTCTAAATAAAAGAGCCTTTCCTCCATCCTAAACTTTGTGAGGCTGTAGGGATTGGGGTACAGGGTTACCTGGAACTTAGTAGCTTCCTACGTTCAGGAAAGTTGGGGAGAGAGGGGTAGTATCCAGACCCTGAGTTCAGAGGTGGCTGGAGAGTTCTGGCTGGTGGATACCTTGGTGGGAATCAGAGGACACTTGCTCTGAGAATCCCTGCCTTATGGAGCCTAACATGGAGATGAGCCTTGCCAGCTCCTTTTAGCTCAGGGTGCATGCCATGGCCATGTCACCTGCTTCTGCTTCTGCCTTCCTCACTTTCCAGAGTGTCGTGTCCAGAATGAAGATTGTAGATTGGTGTGTGAGTGTCTGGATGGGAACTGTGAGTTGGCTACTAAGGGCTGCCACTTGCAGCTCGCCATCCCTCAAAATTCCTTACAGCTGACACAAATACGCATCCACTAACCATCTGACAGTGGGGCAGAGTGGGCAGAAAATGGGATATGGAGAATTAAAATGGAGACAAAGAAAGAGGCAGAGTAACATGGGGATATCAAGATGGTGTGGTGGATGGGAAGATATTACCAACCACCAACCTGAGGGAGGAGACATTATGGACTCACCCTGGCCACACCCAGACTAAAAACCTAGAGAAGCCTCTTGAGCAATGACACAGCCTAGAGAGGAAGCAAACCCTCTTATAGGGCAGATTCATTTTCTGACATTATATTGAATAGGGCCTCATG